AACTTCGGCCCCGACGGGCACCCGGATCGCGTAAATCGGCCGACAATCGGCGGAAACGGAAGTTCGCGATCGAATCAGTGAATATCGCGGTTCAACAAAATTCTTGGATTTAAAAAACTCAGGCAAGTGAGAAAATCTATTTTTAAACGATGCTAAACAACGAGTTAAATAAATGTGAAATCAAGAATAGAATTTATAAGAAAAGTACGAAGCATTGGCTAGCAAGTCACATTTAAATCTTCTCTACATGGAATTTTTGAAAGGATAATGAATATCTCAATTTCTGTTCACGTTATAATTTCTACTCACTGGTTTATGATTGCATGTAAAAGGAGAAAAGCCAGTGAACAGAAATTGGATCATTTATTAAGAAGAAATTTTCTACCAACGAAGGACTTCAGTATAAAGATTCCTTAATTTCTCTTGATATCCTTAAAGAGTAGTATTCGCTTGGAATCAAAATGGCTCGGTACCGGATGTAAATAAACGGGGAAAGTTCGTAGCGTGCACGTGAGACAGGGGAGCCTCAATGTCTGGTTCCGGTCTGCGGTTTTCCTACGGGAACACGTGCGACTGAAACGGGTGGTCCATGGTTCGTCAGATCTGTTCTTTATCTTAAAAAAACTAATCCGGAACTTGAAAACACTGATCGCGATTCGGGCCGAGGGTCTCATCGCGTATTGGAAAAGAAAAGAAGGGTCACAGCGAGGCCTTCGATAAGGAGCTTATTTTTTCATGCTAGAAGATAATTACCGAACTTACACTGGTTAGACACGATCTTTTGTGCTTCGTTGTCAGTGAAAGATAATAGATTCCTGGGGTCTGTACACGTGGAAGACATCTTTTTTCAACGTGGGTTTTAGTTCCGTCGCAGACGTCTCGAAGGAGTCAATTAGTTTTTTCTTCAAGGGCCACTTGAAGCTGTCGCGTAAAACGTTACGGAGAATTTTGGAAGCAGTAAAATAGTAAACATTGCTAAGCGCCACTATCTACGAAAGGAAGAAAGAATGGCCCCTTCACTTTCAACCCTTAAGGCACGCGGTCCGTTGGCCAAGTATTCCTTGCGTCTTCAAGAAAAATATTCCTAGGCATTTTTTAATAGCTCTAAAGAGGCAGGATATCTCAATTGCTCGACAGTTTCAGACGAAAGGAAAATCGAGTTTCTTAAAAGCAGCTTTGTATGCCGTGCGTTCAGAGACTAATATATTCTTTACATTGCAATTTCACTTTTTATATGTTATATATTTTTATGTATCACATTCATACATAAAGCATACTGAATTATTTGATAAATGCATAAAATCTGCAGTCTAGTGGTAACGTACACCACTATAATATTTCACCTAACGACTGGATATCAAGAAACATTTGGAGCGCAGTGATAAAGAGTTAACGGAGCAACGAGCAGTGTGTTCAGCTTCGTAGGCAAAGACAAGATGGCCGTGACGCTCCTCTTTCGTCGAATCGTTCGCCGTAACGCAAACAAACTGTTTGAGAATTCGTGGTCTAGACCACAGGACGCACGATATCGCAGCCAGACGTTTGGATGACATTAAATAATTGCCCTTCAGATCCTTCCTCCCCAGATTCTTCATATTTCCCAGAACTCTGTCGCTATAAATTATAATGAATATGTGAGAAGAAATATTGAAATTCAGTCTCTACAATTATCTTTTCATTTCTTACAGTCTGTATCAATTTTTGCTAATACACAATTGTAATATTGAGAATTAGAAAAGAGACCTAAATTGAACAGAGTCAATTGCATCTGCTTTTACGTTTTAAGAGCAGAACGATCGACTTCTTTTACGCATGCATTTCTCCAGTCAAAACCAGTCATTTTTACATCGGTTTGGTAGTCCTAATGTTAAACGGAGAGCACTGTATGACGTGGAGAATTCGATTAAATCTTCCGAGGATCACAACAATAATAAAACGAGCACAGAGAATTGTCTCTTCATAAGCGTCGATCATTTCCATTCCTTTAGCGGCAGATACTTGACACCCCGTCACGTCTTCCCACACGTAAACACTCTTGCTCCAATTGACTGTGATCAACGAATCAATTGATAGGCTAATCGTTACGAGTCAGACTGGAGTGATAAGAGAGACTTACGCGCTTTGTACGTAAAAGACGTGACGCCTTGTGTTATCAATTGATAATTGTAAACCATAAGCAAGCAAACCACGTGCTTACGAAGTATTCAACGATATTATAATAAATATTATATTATATGAATATAGTAATTTGAATAAAAATTAAAAGATTTAATAAGAGCAATTGTATGAAAGAAAATTATTTGTATTTCATTTCTGTCGTGTATTAACTTTAGCCTTTTACTACAATTAGGTGTTTCAAAAGAATAAAAGAAAAAGAAATGGAAAGAATGTTGAATGAATGACTCATACCTTACGAAACTTTTTGATTTTTCATAAAATAAAGTTCGATTCGAAGTTTTTGGTCGCAAGGTCTTCTTTCCTCGGGGTTCACCCCCAAATCAGTGTTTTTTATAATTTTAAGTGAAATTTCTATCCCTTTCCCAACATTCTTTTCATTTCTTTTTTTTATTACTTGAAACGAGTAATTATAGCAAAAGGCTAAAGTTAATACGCGACAGAAATGAAATACAAATTATTTTCTTTCATGTGATAGTTAACTTATTAGTTGCACACGACCGCCTACGTTTCTCGCATCGGTCGCACGCAACCTTCACCCCCCATAGAGCACTTGAGACCAAACCGTCCGAACAGACCCAAAATGGAAATCATTTCTGCTTTAAGATTTCTTTTTTCATCAGAAATATTCAGCCAGGTACAATAAAAAAAGCATAACACGTTGCAGAGCCGATATTTTAAATTCCGCGAACGGAAGTCGCGTTATGACGCGCGGAATGAACCGGAAACTGATATGACGCATAAAATTTCCAGATAATCTACACCAGTTTTGGGATAAAATCGATGATGTGCAGATTCTGGGAGAAGCAGAGAATAGTAAGTCGAGGGCGTTTCTATACTCGGGCGGAGCACGATTCTACCATCTCGTTGGCTAACAGGTGGACCAATCGTTTCTTCCAGCTTTTTAGTATCATCAAGTATCGTTTTATATCTTCAAATAATAAAAAAAAACCTGATTACTCGCCAGTTATAGTTTCCGTAGACATCGTTAGGCCAAAAAAAATAGATCCGACCCTCCTTTTATACGATGAAAGTATAGCGAGTAGAAGAAAATCGTGTAAAAATGTCATGCAAACACTAATTAACACAACTTTGTATTAATCTTGCTAATAAAAATCGCATAAATTTACTTCAACATCATACTTTTAATTTAAAATCGCATAGAAAGAACTATCGTGTGAAAGGAGCGTCAGGTGTACTTCTGGATGCGAGAAGGACTCATAGTTTCGTAATTAGGACTCTTTTTTTCTTTGTATAATTACCTAAGGATTTACATAAAATTTTTACAATCTCTACAAAGATTATTATAGTTGAAAATTTAATTTTCCCCATTCTATTTATAGTAAGACTCGCGGACTAACAAAAGTAAACGATGTACAGATGGCTCATTTGCTTCCGGACTCATTTTGCACACATACATTAAAAATGTGTGGCAAATTCACGTGTATAGATCCAGATAGTGTCGAGGCATGAAAAATATAAAAAAATATGTATGTAGAGAGAATATGTCGCATTTTCTATGTGCCCTTGACAAGTGCGTCCATAAGATAGCCATGTAAGAATAGACCGCACTAATCGTGGACGAGTCTGTGATAGAATAAAAAAGAGGACGACAATCTATACTTCTGTGTCCTTTTTAACGCTATCCAAGACAGTCAATTTGAAACACAATTATTACAAAGACGTAGGCCTATAGATTTTTTCTTCCGTCGCTTCTTCAGATTGCTAGCGCGGTCTATTCTTATACAGGGTGTCCCAGAATTTGTGGTACTCTTTTAAATGGTTGGTCCCTTAGATGATTTTAAATTAAACAACATTTTCCTTTGTCAAAATGTTATCCGAAGCGTGGTTGTCGAATCATTAACGAAAAACCGCGACCAATCAGGACGCACAGAGGAGAAACAACTGCTGTACTATAATTCGTTTCAATTGATGATGCGTGTAAGTAGAGCACTCAATAATTGTAGTGTAGTAATTATTCCAATTTCGACTCACGTTATAATTTCTACTCACTGACTTGGGATCCTGTGGTATAAAATTACAGAAAAAAAGGCCAATGAGTAGAAATTGTAACGTGCATAGAAATTGAGTCATTTACTATAACTCTTTTTATATCATCGAAATTCCATTCAACATTAACATCATTTGACTTGATCTTTACAATTTCAGAATCTATAGATTATTATTGCTTCTGGAAGATAACTGCGTCTCCTCTCAGATGTTACATTTAATCGAAATCCTGAAGATAAACACTTGGGAGATAAAAAATGTGTGAACTCAATAATCACCGGACGAATCATCGTTCGGAACAACAATGAGGAAAGAGTTATGCAATCAATTCCATCGCGATTTCTCGGACCCGGATTGTCGCCCTCGTTATCTCAGAGCTTATTGCCGTCAGGCGTGACACGGAGGATGCTGAGCTTTCCTCCGATTGGTCGTGTAAGAGATCTTTGGTTGATCCGCGGCCAATGGAGAACCGAGTCACGTTTCTTACGGCTCATCACGCCTACGCAGAGACGAGGCCGAGCCCGGATGACGGCGTGGCCGCGTCATCGCGACATTACCGAACAGGGCGGCCAGAGGAACGCGTTACATACCCCTTCCACCAGCAAATTGGCTGGATTCCCCTTTGGCGAGGACAGCGTAACGCACGGCGTGACGTTCCCCTCCAGAGGTTCTCTAGAGGGGAATCAAGTCAATTTGCTGGTGGAAGGAGTACGTAACGCGTTTCTCTGGCCGCCCTGTTACCGAAGCTTCCAACGGGATCGGACTCAATCCCGCGGTCCAGTCATCCGAAAACACTTAGCGGCGCATCAGTGCGACGCCTGCCAAGTGGCAAACCTAAATAATTGACCCCACCGTGCGGTTCTCAGTGCAAACAATTTACACCCGCGTAAATAACACCGGTTCTTTCTTTCTCCCTCGCTCTACCTTTCCTACCGCCCGCCTTCGTATTGTGACCGCGCCGTGGAACGCGTGGCTGACGCGCGAATTCGTCCGCGGGAACGTACACGACACGAAAACAATAATAGGACGCGTTGAAATTGAAACCGCGAGTGACTGGAAAGCGTAACTGCTTTTCAAACGTTTTGACAATTCGACGTTGTGAAGGGACTGTGTTCATTTCGAAGGATACTTAATCCACGGTGAAGTGAATGGACTAGTTCATGATGTTCGCGTGATCATCGTACAGTAACCCATGGATCAGACAGTGATCGTTCCGTCGAGTCGCGGTAGCACCGGGGAGAACGCGAGGATCCCGATGAAGAACGAATCGGAGTCGAGCATGCATCTCCAAGACCAGACGACGACCGTCGCTCATTCTAACTCCGCATCGGTGGTCCCTAGGACGAACAGTTTATCGATAAGTAACAGTCTGAGCCAGGACCAGAGCCTGGACCCGCTGATGTGCAATCCGTCCAGCACGGAATTGCCCAGAAAGCCAGGAGCGCGGCGTCAGGAGAAGCCACCGTACTCATACATAGCATTAATTGTGATGGCGATCCAATCGAGTCCCGGGAAGAGATTAACCCTTTCGGAAATCTACTCGTTCTTACAACAACATTTTGCGTTCTTCCGAGGCGCGTATCAAGGCTGGAAGAACTCCGTGCGTCACAACCTGAGCTTGAACGAGTGCTTCATTAAACTACCGAAAGGATTAGGGAGGCCGGGTAAAGGCCACTACTGGACGATCGACCCGTCGACGGAGTACATGTTCGAGGAGGGTAGTTTCCGTCGACGTCCACGAGGTTTCCGTCGCAAGTGCCAGGCACTGAAGCCCCAGTACCCGCAATACTTCTCCGGGAGCGGACCGGTCGGCGTCCAGACGCCCGGATACGAGAATCTGACGCCTGGAAGTATGGAATACGCGAACGGGTATCAGAATCAGTATCAGAATTATCAAGAATACGCGATGTACGGGCCCGGAGCCGCGGTCTCTGCCGATTGGGCGTATCCTGAAACCACGTATAAGACACCACCTATAGCGGAAGTGACGTACAAGACGACGGAAGTTACGTACAAAACTGGGGAACCGTCGGTTTATAGAAATGGGGAGATAGTGGCGTTTAAGAGCGAGCCAACAGGGTACGCGGCGAGGAGTCAAGAACAACTGGGTTACAGAGCGACGGATGGGTTCTCTGTCAAGGATCACCAACAGCATCATCCGGAGTCGATCTACAAGGAGAACGAGTCTATAATGAGTTACAAGTGCCCGTCGAATCCTGCGCCCACTACTCAGGCACCGGGACAGGATTATTACGTCGGTTACGGACTTGCCGGGGTCAATAGTACCGGAAACAATGTCAACGTTTCTATGCAAGGGATCCCGGAACAAACTGGGAACAGCAGCCCCATAGGGAACGTCAATTCACCGCACAGCGGGTGCCAGACACCTGTCACGGATAATGGTGAGTTTGTTCGCTAATTCTACTCTAATCAGAAAATGATGTTCAAGGTCTATTATACTGACTACTAAACGAGACTGATAAGAGAATAATTTAAGACTGTCTAAACAAATAATTTTATGTATTTCAATTTAAATACCCTGCAACGACATGCTGTTTAATCCTGATTTTGGCAGTGAATGGAAATAACAGCTGCCATATCATAAATCTACGTAATAGCTAGGAATGCGTACAAAGACGAACCGAAAGGGCTTGCAAAGGTCCAGACTCAACGATTTTTTGAAACACAATTGCATGGTACGAAGTGCTGGAGTGGAGTCCAATACAACAATGGCAGTCCATGACAGTCGAAGAAGGCCATGTGGAAAATCGCAGACAGTTTACGATCGTACCGGCGCCGATCACGCGGTAAAACTGTAGGCCTCTCAGCCTCATTATTTTAGATTTATGTAATTGCATCAAAGCTGCGTCACATATTTTTCAAATCCAAATCTTAACTGAAAATCTTGGAAAATTATTACCAAGAAGAGAGAGTCAGAAATCAGCTTCGCTCGCAATTAACGTACGCGTTGATCGTCCATGAAAAAGAATTGAAAGAATGCGGGGAGGGGGACAGCTTCCTGGACAAGTAAATTTAAATGTCAGCTTCCGTTTAATAACACGGAAAGTCGAAAGTACTCTTCGCGCGTAGTCGACAGACACGAAATCACCGGAGTCGACAGCACCTATTAGCCGGGGTTGACATCACTGTCACGCCCCACGCGAGAAGTCGTAATTCGTAACTGGTAACGTAACACGTGTAACACGTGTGACACGAAATCTCGACGTGTCTTTCGACTCCTGTTTGGATTAATTTAGCGCGGAGCCACGAACCGTTTAACAGGCGATTACACACTCGTTAAACGATCGTTGCTTCCTTTCCGACAATAAAGTGATCACAAAAGTCTGAACTACATTATTTTAAATGTTCCTAATAAATACTATACTCAAATGAGTATGCAATTCTAATCTATAAAATGTTGGGAGACGGCGATAGTTGGGAGCAGGCTCCGAGGAAATAGAGACAATGTCCTTAGATTCACGGGTTCTATTCATTTCGTTCATGAATGAAACGATATAATGATTGCGAATGCTTACTACCGTCCGATCGGGCGATAAACAAATGATCGTGGGCAAAGAAAATACACGGTTTTTTTGTATCATTTACCAGTAGTCGCGTGCTGGTAAGTGAGGTCTCAAATCGCTTATCGCATAAACATTTACAAGTGGGGTAAACAAGATGTTCTTTAATCTAAGTACATCGAATGTGGCTACCTTAAACACTAGACCCGTTCGTTTATTAAACCTCTCCGCGAAACCAGCTTCAGTCTGCGCCTCCACAGTCTCGATGAATGTGTTACGATAAACAAGAACTACGACAATGAATGAATTAGTAATATCGCAAAATGATAGTCTTATCTGTTTCGTCAAATAATCATTCTGTAGTGCATTATTTTTTGAAAAAGCAATGATAATTATTGCTAGGATCAGATAATTAACTTTTCATAAGTGTAATTAATTTCTGTCTTTACTCATTTTTATTTAATCCAGTTACTCAGCCACGCTTATCGCCTGTGTTAGACTTATTCATATCAATATAAAAAAAACTCAAATTGTAAGAAAATTAGAACATACGAAGTTATTAGAATATGGGATGTGTAGTTCAATTCAATTCGATGATATTAAATTCTTTTTACTCTTTTATTTTAAATGCAATAAGAAAGGATCATCTAACCAGAGACTAATATGGCAATCCAGCCATATTCAAATTTGTATCGACATCCTTTCTACCTTGATCATCGATACACCTGTGCCCCATGATATAGGCTTTCTCAGAATCATTCATCAAACAGAAGTTTTAAGGGGAGCAACCGCACCCCATCGATGCAGGCCTTTTTAAAGGTAAACGGTCTTGGGCACAGAGCACCATAAAAAGCAGTGCGAAAGTCATACTGGCGATGGAAGAGGAGCGAGGGGATTGAGGAAAGCTAAAGCTTTTGACCTGAGGGTCACTCTTCGTCGTCCTAACGACAACGTTAGGAATAAATTGCCGAGTTTCGCCTGTATCACGATTTGCTAACGCCCACGTATTTATTTCATCCTCGTGCCAAACCTGATTCGAGTGTGAATAAAACTTGAATCTTAGAGAATATTCCGAATGAGGTTGATATTTGCTATCTCGATCAACAAATCGTCCCGTTTCGCGCACTCGCGTTACAAGTGTACAATCTATTCCGTCTCTCCACCTCGATACACCGAGGCATCGACAAGGGATAAACGTGCCACCCACGCACCCTTCTTCCTTCTCCTTCTCTTCCCTCTCGTCCAGTCAGTAAAGTGTAAACGAGATCAATCTGCAGACGCCTCGGCAGGCTCCGGTGTTCTCTCTTTTTCTTCTACAACCCGGTTCTCTCCACGGGAATGTATTTCTGGATCGCGATCTCTCTCTACTCTCCTCTGCGACTATGGCATCGTTGTTGGCACGACCGACGCCGATATTCGCTGAGGAAACCGCTTCTGTGCTCTCCTTTTATCGCGCACCGTATTTCGATGTGCGCCGTTAGAGAACAGAAGAAAAAAGAACCGAAATCCGCAGACCAGAGAACAGATTGCTCGACCGAGCCGGGAAACTTTGGATTCGTTTGACGGTGGAGAGAAGCCGGGGGAGATTTTGACTGACGGCACTGCCATTGAGACCACACACAGCGTCGTTTTTAGGCCTTCGTTACACTTTGCTTTCGACCTGGAATTAAACCGGATTCCAATTGCCATCGAGATGGTTCGATCGGCGTTCAATTCGAATTTCAAATTAATGAAGAATTGCACATCACATATGCAAGTGCCAAGGGAATAGCAATTTGGCTAACATAGAATTCCTTTCCTTTTTTATCGTTGATGAAAATATATCATAGACTGGACACAGACGAGTCTAAAGAAAAAAAATTCAGTAAAATGAGAGTAAAAGGAAGGAAGTAGAGAGACAAAGCGGGAGTCGAGACACGAGTGAAGTGCGCACTTGAAGAAGAACTGCTCGAGAGCCGTCGGAGCTTCAGATTTATCGTACCTATACAAGTACTCATATCGTGCGTTCTTTCGTTTTTTCTTCTTCATTTCCCTACGCACTTCATGTGTGGTCCCTCCACTCCAAAGACGTTCAGAAACTTGCAAATCTGTTTTACTTATGTTTCAGGCTTGAAAATGCAATGTTCGAACTCGAACTCGAACAGCTCCGGAGGTGGACTGATCGACCGCAAGCCGTCCTACTTCGGTCATCCAGCCGGCTCGGTTGCTCTAAGCTCGTTAAGCTCCCTAAGCTCGCTGAACTTGAGCAACATCGGTGGCCTGAGCATATCGAACATACCGGGTACGGTTCCCTCGAACATTCATCACACGACGACGACGCCATCGACGACCATGTACTACGATCAGATCAAGTACAGTATGTGAAATTCTGTGACGATCCGACGATGGTTGAAAGAGAAACGTACTATTATATTAATTTTAAGTGTCGACGAAACTTCTGAAACGGTGCGATTAAATCGGAGGCACTAATAAGAGAAGAACACGCGCTCGTGAATGAAGTTGTTCGAGTGCGAATGCCTAGGTTGTATAAAAGAGGAAGGGAAGGCGCGCATCATATTTATATTTATAACTACGAACGGGAATCGTTAATTTAAGTCACTCAAAGTTATAAATTCTTTATTGAGAATAGAAAAAATTTATTTGTGAAATTCAAATCATGACGCGCCACGATTTTGACATTATTTCCGATGATGTATCAAAGCGAACGATATTATTAAAGACGTCACGATAGCATGGTTTTGCGATGGTGATAAAAAGAATCGTTTGAAAACAGTAATCTTTTATTTTCCTGCTCTTTTCACTCATCGATTAGGAGCTTAACGTTATCATTTACAACGAGATATACATTTTGTGCTTCTCATGTACTAAATTGTTCGCATTAAATTTTGTATGATTTTTTTCCCACGGCTACGATTATTTCTCATATCATAAAACTCATACGGATCCTCTATTCAAATGAACATTAAAAATTAGGGCAAACGTTTTACGATTTTAGAAGCGCACTTCATATATTTTTTTCGTCGAAAGAAACAAGAAACCGAACATCAAAACGATTTCGTTGCTAGTCTCGAGGACTCTGAGGAGCCAGTCGGTAGTAGATCCTTCGAAGGATGGTTATAAAAAAGATAATACGGTCGTGAACGATAGTATTTGGTGCGCGACGGATTTCTATTGGAACAGCTTGTTGCCGGTCCCTGCCATAAAAATGACGAGGAAGGCTCCTTTCGGTCGACCGAAAATACACGTATTTGAGTAATACGGAGACCTCGACAGTCGCAATCGTTCTCGTCACATGTTCAAATACCGTCCCAGTTCCGTTACACGGTTCGCACGAATCATGTGGTGCACTTTTTTCGTAGAAACCCAGAACCCGATTATCGATCTCGATGTCACTTCCGAAAATAGTGCAACGACACCATAAAGATGAACGACACTCTATCCGGATTTCATTATCGCGGTTAAGGAAGAATAATGTGTCATTAGGGCAATGACATATGAGTCAGAGCGCTAAATTCGAGTACGCATCATTCACTTTACGATTATGAAAGCTGTAGTGACTTCACATTGTTTAATATTACATAAATGGGATTACCGACGTAAGATTCTGATAAAAAGTTGTTCAATCCAGTAATATAGATATTGAATTAGAATATTTGAAAACTGATAATAGAAGAATAGATGTTATACATTTTAATGCATTGGACAGNAATATTACAAGTTTTTAATATCACTATGAATTTATATTTATTCAAAGTCTTTTTTACTTTAATAGTTCTGTTTGATTGAAAAATTGTTCATTATAGTTTTTATTAATAAAGTGCTATCCAAATACCAAAGTGGTACGAAAGGAACCACTTCTGCTGCGCGTCGTCCAGAATGCGCATAAGCCAGACGACGAATATGCACGAGGTGCAAGGAGAGTCACTCAATGACGCCGTTGACAGGCCTGCTCTGGCCACGGCTCACTGTGCTCTCGTTTCTGCGGTATCTTCTACCCGAAGAAAAGAAAATCGAAGACATCAGCGCATAAAGATATGATCTGACAACAAACCGCTCTCGCTACGATCTTGTTACGAATAAAAAATTTAATCTTCCATAAAGGAAAATGATATAAACTATTTATTGTTCAATAACCGCGCGTATATCTTATCGCGAAGAATTTCTCAACGTGAAACTGTACTTGAATTAATGATCGACCACTTGAAACAATTACGAGGATCCACTTTCAGCGTACGTTCAAGTCGGTTCTTGAACGACATAAGATGAACGATTCGAGATATTCTTAATCTCGAAGATAGGAGAATATTTACACGAAATTTAGCAGGAAAGAAACTACAAAGGATATGATAAATTAAAATATGAATCATAGGTTTTTCGCGAAGAAGTGTGTTCGTGGTAATTTAAAAAACGGTAATGCAAAGAATGTGGAAGACTGCGTTATCTCGCGGATGCCTCCGTATCTGAACGTTCAAAAGAGAAAAGGCAACGGAAAGAAGGGTGGAACGGAGAGTACAGGGAAAGACGGGGGCGTCGGAGGAAGGGGTTAGCTCTAAAATAATAAACTAACCGACGCGATGCGAGGCTAGGCAAAGTCGTAACAAACGTTCTGCGACTTACACTGTACAGGCCTGACGCGGCTAAAAGTCGTACCTTATTAAACTGTCGATATTATTAAAATGAGGATTTAATCGTTTAAGTTTGAACCAGCGATTCGTAGCTTCGGGTACGCGGGCCCCCGCGGTGCTCCGAATTTCACGCACAAATTCAATAAAGTATTTACTATGAACGAATGTGAATTTTATTCTTCCTCCTCTGTTAATTCAAGGACTCTCAATACATAATTCTTGGTAAATTCGTCATGCACTGCATTAATTATTCGCAGTGTTTAAAGAGAATGAAGATCATGAGTGGATCCCAATAGGAATGCCAACAGGTAAGCAATTATTTGCAATAAACTAAAATTTCTCAAAATCTGAAGGTGTACCCCTTGACAAAATCTCTGAAAAGTTAAAATTTCTTTTTTCTCAAAATT